TGAGGCTGAGGAAGAAGTCCTTCCTTCCTTGCCGGCTGTTCTTTGAACTTGAAGAAGACCAGTATTCTAGATTTCAAAGGAAGACTGGCAGTGAAGTTCAGAAACCAGCCCATGCTTGTTTGTAGGTGTTTTAGAACCCTTCAGCTGTTTGCTATGTGTGCAGAGTAGATTGACTACTTTTATTATTTTGATATTTCTTTGAATATGTTTTGTTTATTGCTCTTTTATTAGAACAATAACTGCACCCAACAAGAAAATTATGAGTCCTTTAATTCTATGATTTCACATTAAAAAAATCACATCAACACCAAAGTGGTAAAGATGATAACTGCTAACTAAAATGTAATACTAAAGAAATTAATAAGTGTTGATTTTTTTTGCTTATTTTGTGTGCTATCATTTAGTTCCTTTAAAATCTTTTCTTTGGATTTCTTTGATGTGACTTTTAGATTAAAGTGTGCTATAACAATATTTTGAATAGCAAAGGCATAACAGTTTTTAACTGAGATGGATTATGGAGATTATAGTTGTAACTTGGCCTTTTAGCTTTATGTTTATTTAAATTTTAATCTATGTTGATAAATACTAGTATATGAATAAATAATGTAAATATTGATCTGCTGTATAACATCTAGTGAATTGATATTTGGGATTTAAAATTGTTGATGAGAGAACATGTGATGTCTATCTGGATCACAGTCAGTATTATATTTTCCAGTTCCATCCATTTACCCACAAATTTCATGATTTTATTTTTCTTTACAGCTGAATAGGTTTCCATTGTGTGTATGTGTTACATTTACATTATCCATTCAGCAGCTGAAGGACATTTAGGTTGTTTTCCTTTCCCAGCTATTGTGAACAGAGCAGCAGAGCACATGGCTCGGGGAGTATCTCTCTAGGATATCAAGTCCTTTGAGTGTATGTCAAGGAGAGAGACAGCTGGGTCATGTGGTAGATCTAGTTTTAGTTTTTTGAGAATTCTCCACATTGATTTCCATAATGCTGCACCACTTTGTAATCCCATCAACAGTAAATGAGAGTTCTTTTCCATATCCTTGCCCACATTTATTGTTGGTTGTTTACTTGATTTTAGTCATTCTGACTGGAGTAAGACGCAATCTCAAATTAGCTTTAACTTGCATTTCCCTAATTTCTAAGGTTGTTAGAAAGTTTTTAAGGTATTTCTTTGCCATTTTTATTTTTTCGAGAAATCTCTGTTCAGATCCATAGCCCATTTTTTTAACTGGGTCATTTTTTTTCTTGATTCTTTGTTTTTTGAGTTCTTTGTATATTTTGGATATTAACTCTGTATCAGATGTATAACTTGCAGTGACCCTTTCCCACTCTGTGGGCTTTCTCCTCTCAATTGTTTTCTTTGCTGTAGAGAAGCTTTTTAGTTTTATAAGGTTCCATTTAATAATTACTGGCCTTAATTTTTTATCTCTTTTCTTTTTTTTTTTTTTTTTTTTTTTGGGTCTTTTTGAGACAGGGTTTCCCTGTAGCCCCAACTGGCCTCGAACTCAGAGATCCGCCTGTCTCTCCCTCTCTAAGGGCTGGGACTAAAGGCATGCATCACCACACCCGGCTTGACCTTAATTGTGCATGTGGAGTCTGACTTAGAAACTCCTTTTCTGTCCCTGTAAGGCCCATGTTTCTTGTAACATTTTCAGCATTTCAGGTTTCATATTGAGGTCTTTGGTTCATTTGGAGTTGATTTTTGTGCAGGGGGATAGATATGGATCTAATTTCCTTCTTCCACACGCGGACATCCAGTTTTCCCAACATCATTTGTTGAAGATGCTGTCTTTCTTCCGGTGTCTATTTTTGGAATCTTTGTCAAATATGAGATGCTGTAATAATGTGCACCCATGAAGTCTCAACAATATGGTTGTCTGTAATGATAACACTAGTGAATATGCCAAAGCGGATGGAGGAAATTTCACAAGGCCCTGTCCCTATGTGAAGAGCTATAGATAATCAGTGGCTCTTCAGAGGTTGGGGAAATGGCCAATCTTATGTAAATTTGATGGGGCATATATCAGGATTACTATTAAGTTATAGTCTTTAGAAATTAGCCATTAAATTGTTTCTCTGAAGGATCTTCTAACATAAAGACACTGTCTTCCTTTTGAAAGAAGGGGAATTGGATAATTTGAAGTTGGTATGTCTCCAGCACCATTCTTTTAAAGCCAAAGCTATAATCGCAGTCTTAAGAGATGTGCTCATTACTGTAAAGCATCATCAAGATTCATTTTTTTCTGTGTGTGTATATAAGCCAGAGGACAATCTTGGGTGATGTTCCTTAGGTGATCTGTAGGTTTTTGTTTTTTTTTATGTTTATAGCTAAATGAAGTTATAGAACTTCAATTTCCATTTGTTGTATTCCATGTTTATCGGTGTTTTGTGGGTACAAGATTGGATTTTAGCTATCTTGATGCTGAGAATGAATTATTCTGGATAATGGATGTGCTGGATAGCTTTAGTGTCAACTTGACACACCTGTGTTGAGGGTGCCTCAATTAGGGAATTGCTTCCATTGGACTGGCCTGTGGCCATATCTGTGGGTCATCTTGTTGATTATTGAGTGATGTGGGAGGGCCCAGCCCACTGTGGGTGGTGCCACCTCTGGGCAGGTGAGCCTGTGTTGCATAAGAAAGCAGGCTGAGCAGGGGCTAGGTGAGCAAGTCAGTAAGCAGTGATTCTCCATGGCCTGTGCTCCAGCTCCTGACTCCAGGTTTCTGCCCTGAGTTCCTACCTTGGGCTCCCTGATGAACTGTGACCTGGGAGATGTAAGACAAATAAGCCCTTACCTCCCCAAGTTGGTAGTGGTCAGAGTGTTTTGTCACAGTTATGGAGAAACAGACTAGGACAATGGATATGACATTAATTACTAGTGATTTTGTTTGATTTGTCAAGTTCTAAGAGCCCTACCAATGCTGAGATAGACAAAAAACAAGTTTCAAACACTTTAATGATGAGAGCTTGATCTTACCAAGATGCTGGTAGTGAAGGTAGGCCTCAAATTCTGGTGCTTACATCTTTGACATCTGACCTACTTATTTTTAAACTTTATTTTATTTTTGAGAATTTCATATTAACTATTGTATTTGTATAATTTCTATCCCTCCCAGTCCTCCAACTCCTCCCATGCCCAATCTGACTCCCTTTCAATTTCTTATCCTCTTAATTTGATTATCATTGTTACATATGCATACATACATTTATAAATATGCATCTATTGCTGTATGTAATGCACTGAGTCCATTTATTTGTGCTCATGTACCTATGTTTAGGGCTGCCTACTTGGGATTAGATAACCTCTCAGGTAGCTAGTTCCTGGAGAAAACTGATTCTCTCTCCTTCAGCATCCATTGATTGCCTTTAGTTCTTCACCTTGAGATGAGACTCTGACATTTTCCCCATCCACCGTGGCATGTCAACTGATTTTGTCATTATGCAGATCTTGTTATACTACCTACCATACTGTGGAGATTTCATGAGGGTGGCTTCCCTGTCATGCCTAGAATGCATTAATTAGCAGCAAGTGTCTAGTCCTGTGAGTCTTACATTCTTTCTGCTCCCTCTTCCATCGTGTTCCCTGAGCTTAGAGGTTGCATTGTAGGTGTGGTGTGTCACTTAGGACTGGGCTCCTCAAAGTCACTTATTCTCTGCACTTGACAAGTTGTGGAACTGTGTAATAGTTCCCATCTGTTGCAAAAAGAAACCTTTCTCATGAATTGGGAGAGGTTCACTTGTCTGTAAATATAAGGACATATATTTAGAACTACTGTTTTTAAGCTCAAAACTCAAGGGAAATATTTTTACTTTTGTAAACATTTTTGGCAATTATGGAAACCCATGTAGTGACTTTAACCATAATTTGTAATTATAAGCATATGTATTTGAGTTAATAAGGAAGACTTGGCTTTATTTTTAAAAACCATTTATTATGTGTATGAGTGTCTTGCCTGCATAGATTTAAGTGCACCCATGTGTTCAGTGCCTGCAGAGGTCAGGAGAGGGCATTGAATCCCCTGGAACCAGAGTTACAGGTGGTTGTTAGCGGCTATATGGGTGCTGGGAACCAAACCCAGGTCCTCTGCAAGAGCAGCCCATACTCTTAACTGCTGAGCTATCTCTCTAGCCTCATTCTTTTGCTTTTAATAATTGAACGCTAGTTGAAATATAAGTGCTCCTCTAAAATATAAAGAACTCTGCCGTGTTTTCTTATTCATGCTTAAGTTCTTGAGGGTCTTTGGTGATTTTTTTTCTTTTATTATATTATATTTGTACACAACTTAACTTGTTCTTCTGAGTACTGGATGTTAGTAAATCAGAAGGAGAAAAAAAGAATCTCTTTTTTCTTGTTCATGGAACTTCAGATGATCTGGGGTCTTTGAACATGAAGGCAAACACTGGTTCCTTGAGCTACGAAACACAGCCCTCCACTCCTCACTGTCTTCTTCAGTCTCCTTTTTGTTTTGAGAAAGAGTACTGTTAAATTGCTGAGGCCTGAGCTTGTGATTTTCTAGTCTGCCTATGCCATGTGTATTTGGCTATGTTTACAATACCACACAAGTTCCCTTTCTTTGAGTGGACCTTAATTCCAATTAGACAGCTGTTGATTGAAGTGCCACTACTGCACCAATAACAGTAGTTTGCTGGGGGCATTCATTGTTGCTTATTGGACTCCATTTATTTTTTTAGGTATACCATGTTAGGTGAAAAAGTATTTTTGCAAAATGAGTTCATTTGCATTTTAATGTCAGTCTTATAAACAAATGTTTTTTATTCAGATATTTTCTCAACTTCCCTTTTCTGTTCTTTAAGTGACTTTATAATAATGATGGAGGGAGTAGGCATGGATTTGATCAAAACACCTTTTGTGCATGTATGAAATTCTCAATAAATTATTTATTTAAAAAAATAAAAAAATTATACCCCCCCCAAAGAGTGATAAACCTTGTTTAATCATAACTATATCTTTTGTTTTTTAGGTTGTTATGGAGTCGATGGGGAGAGTGACTCTATTATGAGTTCAGCTTCTGAAAACTCCACTGAGCCTTGGTTTTGTGATGCCTGTAAATGTGGTGTTTCTCCTAGCTGTGAACTGTGTCCAAATCAGGATGGAATTTTCAAGGAGACAGATGCTGGAAGGTTGATGTTCCAATTCTGTTGGGTTCATATGCCCGCTTCATTCCATTGCTAGCTTTGGAATTCCCTTTTCTTCTATTTATGACTTTCTGAGCCACACATTTCATTGGTTGCTTCTTCACGCCTTCTTGGCATAAAGAAAGTGGCCGGTAGGCTTCAGATGGTTGAGGGTAGAAGAAAGACAGTTTATGAAATACTTGTATTTGTTCTGCAGTCATTATCCCATCTAATTTTAATAATGGTCCTGTGATGAAGCAAGTGATAGTTTCTCAAATTACAGGGGCAGTGCCCCAGAGTTAGATCACTGAAATACTTTATTAGCTCAAAACCACAATCTGAAAAAGAGGGAAATTTGAATCTAGCTCTTACTTCAGGAATATATCCTACATATGGTTAAAAATGGAGAAATTTAATATAATATTGTTAAGCCTATGGCATAAAAGTATACTTAATATAAAAGAGCTCTTGATGGATAGTCTTGGAATAAGATAGATTAAGGAATAACACGTTAGAAGAATTACCTCTTTCCCCACATTGGGGTTCAAACTTTTTGCAAAAATAGTTGTAATCTATTGGGTACCAGAAAACTTTTCTGTTTTGCCAGTTTTAAGTTGTTAAAAGCAAGTGACTGGCCTCAGTTTACAGGGGGATCTAGGGCATTTTTTTCGATGCCTGGAAAATAAGCTGTATTGATAGTGAGGGCAGTGAAAAGTGACCTCAAGGTTTGGCCAGGGTTCTGAGGTCATAAGGACTGAGCATGTGCTTAGATTGGTGTAAATTTACCCTGGGCTTCCTGCTGAGAAATTCCTTTCTTCTGCAATATTCTATATGGTTGTGTTATAGTGCCCTGCTCTGGAGGCACCATAGAACTTAGAGTCACACTCTCTAAAGGCAAGTGCTGAGGAATTTCTGTCTGTCATTGCAGAGTGAGCAGTAAACTATGAATGTACAGCTGAGACACAGTATGTTGATACTTGGCACAAAGACCTATGGTGTTTTTGCTGTAATTATGCTCATCGTTGTGAGCACATGAGCAGTTGTTATTGTAATTGTGGTGACATTCATGTTGTTTCTTCCCTAGGAGGCCAGGATGGGTCACTACAACATCAGAGTAATTCTCAATCTTTTGTGCTTTGAAGATTACTTTCTTATCTTCCACCCTTCCCCCCATAAGAGAAGGCATCCTTATGTTTTTATTTTTCCAAATAAGTTATTAGAATGTTTAAGATTTATTTTATATTACTTTTAAGTTGTGTATGTGTTTGTGTATGTGCATATGAGTGCGAGTTCCCATGGGGTCCAGAAGAGGGTGTAGGATCCTTTGGAGTAGGAGTTAGAGGTGGTTCTGAGCCACTTGGAATGTGTGCTGGGAACCAAACCTGGGTCTTCTGCAAGAACAGTAGATGTTGTTAGCGGCTGAGCCATCTCCCCAGCTCCTAGGATGTTTTAACTAAGCATATTTACCATTTTAACAACAGCAGCAATAACAATCAACATAAATTATCACCATTTTCTATTTCTTAGCACTGAAAAGGATAGGACATAGCCCCTAAATAAAAGCTAAACTTAAGCCGGGTGTTGTGGCGCATGCCTGTAGTCTCAGCACTTGGGAGACAGAGGCAGGCGGATCTCTGTGAGTTTAAGGCCAGCCTGGTCTACATAGTGAGTTTCAGGACAGCTGGGCTACAGGGAGACCCTGTCTCAAAAAGACCAAAAAAAAAAAAGCTAAACTTAGGGGGCTGGAAAGATGACTCAGCAGTTAGAAACACTGACTGTTCTTGCAGAAGAACCACTTTCGAATCCTAGCACCCACATGGCACTAACAACTGTCTGTAACTCCAGTTCCAGGGTATCCAACAGCCTCATCTGACCTCCACAGGCATTGCACGACATGGGTGCACTTACCCACATGCGGCAATACATGCATACACATAAAATAAAAATAATAAATAAAAATTTTTTAAAAAAGCTAAACTTAGATATAATGGATTTTACTTTGGTGAAATTAAGAAAAAAAATTTTTTTTTTCATTTTGCCCCATTAGTGGCTAAACCCTTGAGAAATGTTGCCACATAAGATTGCTAGGACAGCATAGACTATTGTGGGATCTTAGGGAACCCTGTGTCTTAATGTCCAGGAAAAATGGCTGGAATCTTGCCCTTCCTCTCCTATTTCCTATCTAAAACATGAAGTAAAATAAATAGGTAAATGCTTTGCTATAGTGACAAGAACTTGTGGTTCATGTTGTATAGAGGGGTCGTAGTCTGTGTTTGGATCACTCTGGCCTAGAGCTGAGCTGAACAAGCACTTAAGTGTTTGCTTTCATGTTGTTCTGCCTATTTAAGTTCTTTTTATTTATCTTTTTAAACTATGACTTTAGGCAAGTGCCTTAACCTTTTTATGTCTCAGTTTTCTTAGTACTGTTGAGAAGATTAAATGAAACTGTTGATGTAAAACAGTATCGAGACAGGGTCTCCCTGTAGCCCCAGCTGGCCTAGAACTCGCTATGTAGACCAGGCTAGCCTTGAACTCAGATCCATTGGCCTCTGCCTCCTACGTGCTGGGATTAAAGGCATGAGCCACCACTCCCAGCTTCATTTCTGTAGCTTAATTGGAAGTCAGTAAATGTTTCCTTCCCTGGCTGTGCTGCTGCTACTAGTGCTCCCTTCTGAGCCCTTGCTCAAATCGCAGCTCTCCAGCACATGTTCTTCCATAACTCGTCCTAGAGTTAAAGCTTACAGAGATCAGTTGCAGTGAAGTAAAGCCATTTGAAAAATACAGAGCATCCTTTTGGGGAAGAGAACTAATATTCCATGTTTTTCCTGTTAATAATTTAAAATTATATTGAAAAGTTGTCTTTTCTTGCTTTCATAATCCACAGAGCAACTTGTAATATTTCTGAATGGAGAAATAAAGCCTCTTTAAACATTGAGATTTACTAGGAAATACTTGTAGTAGCTACTGTGCACATTGTATATACAGGTTCCTCTGCACATGTAGGCTGTCAAGAATTCTTTCACATGGTATTTAAGCATTTTGTTGATGTCCACACTCACATGTAAGTTGTAGTGGAAATTACAGGCCTCATACCAGCTTGATTTAAGGCCTAGAAAAAGAAAAGGCCAAGAAAGTTGGATAAGAACTTTAGTATTCTAGCCTTAAATAGGAAGCAGGGGAAAGAGTCATGTGTGGAAAAGGTAAAAAAAGTTGAAATTGACTTACTGCATGGACTTAACTAGACTTTCCCTCCTCTATTCTTGATGTGAGCCCCAAATTCTACATAGAAAATAACTTGATTTAAGTGAGAAACTGACTGGAAGATTCTTGACATTAAATTTTATTTCATTTCGTAAATAGAATATTTTACTTCAAGTGTTTTATAAACACAATAAATTGTGGGAAATATTAAATAGACCCCTCTTCCCCCGACCCCCCTCCAGCTTAAGCAGAAGTTTATTTAGCAAAGCAAAGTATACACGGCAGAGACTAGACCTGGCTGTCTGAGAGGAGGAGCAGCCTTTGTCCCCTGCATCCTTTGTTGATTGTCCTCCTGTCTGTTTGGAATGAAATGTGGCTCTGAGCTAAATTCATTGATTTCTTTTTTCTTCAGTAAGCATTTTGGCACAGTAGAAGGAAGGAACATTGAATTCTTTGAATCTTCCTTTTTTCTCTTACTAGCCTTGTTATATTTGAAATCATTATATTATATATTTGAAATCATTCCTCTGGAAGCATTTCTTGCTATGCAAAATAAGAAAAACAATTTAAACAATTTCCCAATCACAGGACACATTTAGGCTTTTTATCTTTTCCTTGAGTGAAGATAGTGAGCTGCATACTGAGCCATGAGCGCTTTCTGTACATCTGTCTTTACCTTTCCAAGTTCCAGCCTGCCTGTGTAATGCTCTGTGCCTAATAGACACATAAGAATTGATTATGGAATGAAGGAATGAAAGCAACAGACTTGAAATGATTTTAAAATAAATTATTTAAAAATATACAAAAAGGTACTCCACATACAAAGCACTTCAAAATTATTTGATTAATATATTTTTAATTTTGAGATGAGAGTTTTTTGAGAAGTATATTACTGTTTATGTTTTCCTATAAAGAATAAATGAATTTAAAAGACGTATTAATAGTTTCTATTCTAGAATGACAATCTTACTCTGTCTTTTGGTGGTTTTGAAATACTTGTTTTCTGCTCCTTTTCCCAATTGGCATCTGTCGTCATTGCTCCAAGCAAAATGGATGGTAAAGTAACAAGGAAGAGTTTCTTACTGTTTTGATTTCCCAACTTAATTGAACACTTCCAAAGTACATGCTGCGGAACCCATGAACAAAACGTGTTAAAAGGACCAACATTGTTTTGGCAGTAATTTTCACTGACTTTGATACTATTTTAATAAGGACTCACATTGGTATCCTCACACAAATGGCTGGGCAGAATGCTTCATTTGTGTGCCAGTCACACTGAAATGGCAGGAATATCTGCAGTACTTGTGTGACTTGTGCTAAGGCATTTTAAGAAGGTCAGTATGAAGCAAGCAGCCAGCTGTTGGGTTTATCAGATAAACTCCTGTAGAGTACAGCGACATTTAATACATCAGTGGAGCATGAAAAAACTGCAGATGAAATTGAGAAAGCAGCTGCTTGTTGAAGATGTGTATCTTTATATTGAGCTCCACAGGATACATTCCGGAGGTTGGATTAAAATGTTCTATCAAGAAAATCTCATAACTACGGATTCTTTTCTCAATAAAAATGATAATATTTTTAAAGATTCGTAACTATATTTTTTAGTACCTCTGTAGAATGATTCTTATGCTTTTAAAACACAGTGCACCACAAAACTAGAACCTTTTAAGCTGTTTTAAAGCAAAATTTGCCTTTATATTCACAAGGTTTAAAGAGACTTGTCTTAATTTTGTCCTTTTTCATATACAAATGTGTATCTGCTGTTTAAATTTCAGAGTTATTCAATGTTTTGTTTGGCTATAAACAGGCAGGTGCCTAATAAATTAATGGTATAGAGCAGCTGAAAATAAGTGAAATGGAAGCCAACTCTCAGTTTTCTTTTTCAGTGAACTGAAGCTTCACAGTTTTTGTTTAGTGTTACGCCTCATTTGGACTTTACAAAATTTTTTTAGGTGGGGTGTGTAAATTTCATTTGTTAGATTGTATGGGGAATAGATAAGATGAATGAAGTTGTGGCATCTGTACAGTACTAGAACTTATTTTGTACCTTTTCCAGCCACCATCTTTAACCTGGGAAGAAAGTCACAGTATCCACTAAAACTGTTTTAAAGTATATCGTTAAGGATATCTGACAGCTTTGAGGGAAAAAGCAATAAAGAACAGTTTAATTGCAAAGTAACTCCACAGTTCCTAAATTAGGATCTTTAATTTTGAAACTGCTTACAATAATAATGGATATGAATGTTTTTCCTTGCATATGAAAATGCTTTGTTTCATTTGAATAGTAGTCTTAGAAAATTTATAATAAAAGATAAGACCAAGTGCAGTGAATTTTAAGTGAAAAGCAATTATGATTGTAAATCTTGGCTAGGCTTCTGGAGGAGTAGCACAGATTGTGGTCAGTTTCTCTGAGATCACTTAGTTGCTGCTGTTCTACAGGTGTTTCGTGTTTTTCAGTTATAGGCCCAAGATTATAATTTTTTTTAAACATCTGATCATAGTTCTTTCAGTAGTATTTTAAGACATATGTTTTATGCTTGTTTTTCATATGAGAATTTCAGGAAAGAATTTGATAGCAAAATTATGTCTTTTCTCCTATAGATGGGTTCACATTGTTTGTGCCCTGTATGTTCCTGGGGTAGCCTTTGGAGATATTGACAAATTACGACCAGTAACACTAACAGAAATGAACTATTCCAAATATGGTGCCAAGGTAAAACAAACTAATTATGATTATCTAAAATAAAAAAAAAAATCTTGTCAGTTTACATGACTTTTTTATATTATTATTGACTATAGATGTGCTTACTAGCAATCATGTTGTTTAATGAACCCTTGGCACTTGTCATTTATTATTATTACTTTGCTTTTGTATTTTTAAGACAAATTCTCACTTTAGCCTAGGTTATCCTCAAACATGAGGCATTCACCTGCCTCAGCCTCCTGAGAGCTAGGATTAGAGGTATGACTCATTATGCTTGGTTTGAATCATTTATTGATAATAGTTTTCCCAGAAAGCTACTAATATATCAAATCTCCCAGATGTTCTTAATTTCATGTAACCTATAGGGTAGAAATTGATATTGATTGATGCTGCTCTCATTTCCAAGGACCCAGAGCAAAGCCTTGTTTCACTCAGTTGGAACAAATGTAATTCTAGTTTTTTACTTTATTTTTGAAATGGAATTTACTAAAATTAAGAAAAAAGAATTTAATAACCAGCTTTTATTTTTGAGCGTGTGTCAGTCCATCTTCACTTTTTTTTTCTTGTGAAATAAGAAAAATTATAATATTTCATTAACATATGTATGTTAAATGTTTACATACTTTAATATATGTAAAGCACTTAGAAGAATGAGTGCCTGGCACCTCTTGTACATTAATTATTACTTGTTATTATTGCTATTACATCAGTTTAATTTTGATTATTAGAACTGTTTATAGAATTCTCTTTTTGATTGAAAGTCCTGACTGACGTCAGTATTTGCATTTGACTCCATTGTTTCACTGTTTGTATCTCTTTAATATTTTAGCCATTTAGTGGATGCTTCTTCATAGGAGGTTAGCTTTTGTCTTGGAAATATTTTTACTGTGAAAATTTTCCTGTTACTCTTTCATAGGAGTGTAGCTTTTGTGAAGACCCTCGCTTTGCTAGAACTGGAGTTTGCATTAGCTGTGATGCAGGGATGTGCAGAGCCTATTTTCATGTTACCTGTGCCCAGAAGGAAGGTCTGCTTTCAGAGGCAGCAGCAGAAGAGGTAGGTTTATTTAACCCACAGTTGCTGAATGTATTAGAAAACTTCTCATGTCTGTTATGTCATGTAACAGTTGTAAAGTAGGAAGGAATTTTAGAAATCTCCTATTAAAAATCTTTGCCCAGATTATTGATTTAAAACTCTAAGAGCAAAGGACTATGAGTTTTGTCAGTCTTAAAATTAGTTATAATATTGGGGCTGGAGAGATGGCTCAGCGGTTGTTCTTGCAGAAGACCCTGGTTTGAATCCCAGCACCCACATGGCAGCTAACAACTGTCCATAATTCCAGTTCCAGGGGATCCGACAGCCTCTTCTGTCCTCTGCGGGCATTGCATGACACAGGTGTACTTATGTACATGCAGGCAATACACACATACACATAAAAATAATAAATAAAATAGTTAAAATTAGTTATAGTATATTGAAAAGCTTATTAAAATTTTTTTGGTGGGGAGCTTTTTGAGACAGGGTCTCTCTGTAGCCCCAGCTGTCCTGGAACTCACTATGTAGACCAGGCTGGCCTGGAACTCACAGAGATCTGCCTGCCTCTGCCTGTGCTGGGATTAAAGGTGTGAGCCACCATGCCGGAGAAAAGCATATTAAAATTTTTATCATGAGTTCTGACGGATAAAACATAATGCAAGGTGTCTGAAAACATTGACATGCTGGCATAATTTATATAGGAGTCTGAAATTGTGTTTGGATAACTTCATTCTGATTTCCTCTAAATCAGATTGTCATCCCATCTTCAGTAACTGTGTTATCTCTTTAAAGGGGGCATCATTTTTTAACTCTATAGCATTCTTTCTAGGTTTATTGACTTTAAGTAATTACTTGTTTTCAGAGTATATTTTCAGGACTCCTTAAAATTGTTGCAAGGACTCTGAAATGAAAACTGTCTTTATAACAATATAAAATACGTATTTTAAATTCTAAATGTTCATTAATAATAGTCGGAATTTCTTGAGATTACAAACAACATAACAACGTAACATTGAATATGGAATCAGTTTTGAGAATCCTACTGTTTCTGACTCCATCCAGGTAGACATTAAACAGAGTTGGAGCACTATAAAACAGCTGCTCTTTTCACTAAAATTTCTTGCAAAGTGTCATAGTAGTCATTTTAATTAAAAATATGTATTTAGGGACTGGAGAGATGGCTCAACAGTTAAGAGCACTGACTGCCCTTGCAGAAGACCCCAGTTTGAATCCCAGCACTCACATGGCAGCTAACAACCATCTGTAGAGACTCCAGTTCCAGGGGATCTGATGCCCTCTTCTGGCCTCTTTGGGCAAGCATGCCTGGGTGTACTTATATACATGCAGGCATAACACTCATATACATAAAATAATAAAAAAGTGTTTACTTAATAGGCTTATTTTAAGAGAAATTATTGAGCATTTAAGGACATTCTGTTTTATTTCCTCAATTGTAAGTTTCTAAAAGTATAACTCAAATTTTTTGGCGTTCACAGTAGTTTTTAAGAATTTTAAGGAGTTCATAAAGCAGATCTAATTTATTCTTTAAGCTCTTTGGTGAAGAGATAGTTGAATACTTGCTCAGTAACTTTTACTTCTTTCTGATAATGTAAGACTCTTTTAATGTTTTTTCTTTTATTGGATAAAAATACTTATCTTTTATCTTATGTAGGAAGTAGATAAGATTACTTAATGAAAATTTTCTGAAAAATATTTGAAGGATGTATTTTGCATTCATTTAGATAGATCTTATAGAAAAGATATATTTTTGATACATGTGTCTGTTTTTGTTCTAATCTCTGATTCTGAGGAATTTTACTTTATTGGGTAGACACAGAAGTATAATTTCATAGCTACTGGGTAGACACAGAAGTATAATTGCTTTATAGGGTTGTACAGATTAATTAGGGCTGACACTCTGGATGATGGACAGAAGTTCAGAGGGGCAATGCAAGGGACTCAGAGAACTGCATATATCCCAGGTGAAAATCAGGGAATTGTAAGTTAAACTTAGTTGTCTGTTTCTGGAAAACTAAATTTTGTAGTCATGATGTCTCTTTTATAGAGATTTTCTTTCAAAAATTTGTTGAAAGGTTTACCATTTGTACTCTGATGATTTGGGTTCCTTTGCGTAGTTCAAAGGATGATCCTTCTGGGGAAGACAAAGCAGTCTACTATAAGGTAGAAGGAGAAATGTATAAAGCAGCCAGGGATAGAATTGAGGGGTACATTGGGGTGTGTAGTGATTTGGAGACCGCTTCTCCCCATCAAAAGGCATGCAAATTAACATAATCAATGGTTTGCAATCTGTAGTCTGTATGTCTAAGAGATAATGTGGGGACAGTTAGAGGGGAACCTGAAATACATCACGGTGTGGAACTTGGGCCTGAAACATCACCCTGCCTTGTTGCCTCCCTTGACTGATTAGGTAGATACATTGGATGCTGCCTTGCTTAGTGTACTGTTTTTTCTAGAAAAAATTATTTAAAGCCTATTTGATAAATTTGTAGTTTGTTATAAACTCAGAGAATTGAAACTTCTGCTGTTTTTTAGCTACAGAATCTTACCATGTAATCCAAGTTGACCTGTAATTTAAACTGTGTAGTTCCTGTTAGTCTCTAATTCACAGTCCTCTTGCCTCAGCCTCCATAGTGCTGAGGATGCTATTGCATCAAGTGAGAATTGGAAACAGGGTTTTGAAATTCAAGATTGTATGAATTTGCTAGGATGTCAGTGAGGTTGCTTTTGATAATATTTGTTTAAAGTGTTATTTGTACATGGTTGTTCATAGGTACACTACAGTGTATACACACACACACACCACACACACACACACACACACACACACACACACACCTTTCCATTGTAGCCCAGGGTGCTCTCAAGCGCACGATCTTCTATCTTACCCTCTGAGTGCTTGGATGACAGGCATACGGTACCACACCTTGCTTAGCATTTTTAAGTAAAGTAACACTTAAAATTAAAGTAAATCTATTGCTTATCAGTACATCTTGCCTTTGATTTCAGTCTTATGCTATGTTTAGGATTTCTAGAAAGCTCTCTTTTTTTTTAAAAAAAAAACTTGTTACCATATTTTTATAACTTTTAAAAGCCTTTGGATACACTGCTTTTTTCATTGGTGAAGAACTATTTGAAATTTTTATGCTTTTTCATGAACTGTGAAAATATTCCAGATTACGAGATCAGTCATGTTTTGACACAGCATTCATCATTAAAATATTTTAAAATAATATTGACAAGTAACATTGTAAAAACAGTGATAGCATAGAAATTTATTACATTTCATATCATGTCTTAAAGTTACATATAGTCTGACTAAATTCTAGTTTAATTTCTTCTATGGTTAAAGTATGATTTTACTATTATTGGAAAATGCTATACTATTAGTTATAAAATTGTCCCTGAAGCAATATAAGATTATTCATTGATTTTTATTGATGTTCAAAAAAATAACCTTTGATATAATGGAATGAAATCATTTCTGGATTAAATTTCAAGAGCTCAAATTAGATCTGTGGCTACTGAACTGATACCTTAAGATGACTTAACAACTTTAATTACTAGAAATCAGTTGTTGATGAATCAAATGATTTTGAATGGATTCATCAAGATACTATGTTGTTAGAATTTAGTTATTTTATATGCAAATTTCAGTAACTTTTATCTAGCTATGTTAGGTCTTGGTAATTTATAGTTTATTATGTGTATTTACTAACTTAATTATTGGTGCCTTATTCAAAGTCATTCTTTATTGCCTGAATTTATATACTCACTTCCTACCTCTTCTTGCTCTTGTTTTTCTAGAGCAGAGGCTAGCATATATTTTCTTCATAGAGCTAGAATATAAATATTTTAGGTTTTGTTGGTCTTTATGGCCTATGCTTAATTTACCATTATAGTATGAGGGCAGCCACAGACTGTACTGAAAGTAAATGAGCCTGGATGCAGTCTTAAAAGCTTTACTAAAACAGGCAGTGCCAAGTTTAGTACCCATGGTGCAGTTTGTCAACCCTTTCTGTAGGAAATAAAGGCTGAAACTAGTATAGACAACATTAATTCTATATCAGATTTTTGTTATTCTCTTTTCCAAGTCCTTTGACAAAGATTTTTACCCATGTTGATTTTTTTTTTTTTTACAATTTTGTACTTATTGAAACCCTATTTTTTCTTTTGCATTTCTAATGCTGATGAGCCTGTTTTTTCAGTATGTTGTATTTATTTTTTTCAGTTTCTACTGAAAAATTTCTCTACCATCATAGGGTTCCATTTGAAGGCCCATGGTTTAAACTGACAAATGACAGATTAACCAGAGGAAAGACAAAGTCCTATTTCCATTGCTTATACAGAAGACAAAAGGAAACGTGACACTCCAAAAAACTACAGTCCCTAATTTCATGAGAAGAGAGAGAGACAGCTTTTAAAGGAATAGTAATTGAGTTTCTAATGGAATAAGCAGCAGATAGGAAATTTTGATGATACTTGTTTATACGGGATGGTCTTTGTTCCTGCCCTCTTTGAGAGCCTCTCTCTGTACAAGTTTCTACCTTTAGATAGAGAAAGGAAACTGATAAGACCTTTTAATCTGTTGAGGCTCTGTCTTCAGCTTAAAATAATTCTAGGGTTTCCAGTAGGTCCCTACACTAAGTGCCCATTAAGGAGTCTGGTTTTTATTATATAAATATAAATATGTAACATTATATTAGCGTGTTTAACTGTCTGGAAATTTCAGAGACACATTTGTAATCTCTCCTTAACTAATATGTAGGGGGCTAATTTATGACATGTGATTTGACTGTTCTTTTTCCAGCTGTTGTGTGTGTGCCCCCTAGGTTTTTAGTCACATATTAGAATACTTAATTTCTGTAGCCTAAATAATAAATTAACTCTCTGGGATGTTGCTTTAGTCACTTAGTGATCCAGACTTATTTTTTCTTCTTTTCTAATATTCTCATAGTATCTGTCCATCTGTCTTTCTATCTC